CAAGGCAGTCCCACATGGGAGGGTTCTGGTTCAAGTCCAGAGACCTCCCTGAGTACACCAGGCATGTTGTGTGTACCCATGATCTAGGGCTGACTGAAGGCTAGAGGTGAATCATGGTATCAAGACCCTTTGGGGAAGCTCTGGCTCACACCCTCTCTCTGTCTCTCTCATTCATGGAAGAAATACATAAACTTTAAAAATATTATTGATAGAAAATTAACTGGTACCTCTTATTTCCTTCTGTCCTATTTTCTTTTGGAGGGGGATGGGCAACCCATTCCTGTATAGAAATAGAATGTTGGGGTCAGCAGGTGGTGTGTTGTTTAAGGTGCTGGACTCCCAAATGGCCAACCCCAGTTCAAGTCCAGGACTTAGTGACTGACTTTCTCACTCTCTCTCTCTCTCGCTTGTCAAATTTAAAATAATAATAATAAGTAAAACTACATAAATAATTTTTTTAATAGAAAAAGTAGAATGTTAAGAAAAGAGGGCTATCAGAGCCAATAGGTAGCATAGAGATTAAGGCAGCTGGATCCCACATGGCCAATTCTGTGGTTCAAGTTCCAGACTTGGCAGCTTAGAAAACATGCTTAGCACATGTGCATCCATGCCCAAAATCCTGAAGAAGAATGGAGGAGAAAAGGAATTGCAGCATCTCTCTCTCTCTCTCTCTCTCTCTCTCTCTCTGGCAAGCACATGTGCCCTCAAAAAAAAAAAAAAAAAAAAGAAAAAGAAAATAAAAAGAAAAGAGGGCTGTCTTGGTTTCACACGCACTACCGGATCTCAGTCTTGCTTCACTAATCTAATTTTATCATTCTTAGTGACTAATACAGGTATCTCTTAAGCACTTGGATTCTTCTGAAATTAATTAAAAGAACAGATTTGGTTAAAGAAAGAAAAGAAGTAGTTCATATTCCAGAAATGAAATATTTCATGATTTTTTTTAAATATAAAGGCTTTATTAAAAATTAGACTTGTTAGAGAGTTCTTGAAAAAAAGGAAAGGAGGAAAACTGTTAAAGGAGCTAATGGGAAATGTATATGCATAAACCACACTTAGAAAAACAGAAAGCTACTTGTGCTCTGTAACTGCGAAGAAAGCAAACATTTTGCATCCAGGTGTTATTAGCAGCTCTGGGTTTGCCGGGCATCTCTATAGCTCGGTTCAGGACAGTATGTACCAGTAGCTGAGCACTGCTTGGCAAATGCATCTAAGCTCGTTGCTTCTGGAATGTCACAGGGATAATTTGCAATCAAGTCAAAATGGGGCTATGATAAAGCCAACTCTAAGACCTGCTTACTAACAGCCCAGGCTCCTCAGCGAGAAGCTGGCCAATGGTCCCAAGGTGAGCACTCCCTTCGTTGCATTTATTTCTTCCCCAGTTCTCAGCTCTGCAAATTTCTGAAGGCTTTACATTAGAATTCTCGCAGCTCCTGGGGTGCTATACACAGCCCTGACACTGGCTAAAAATCCCTTCCAGTTGCTACCTCCCCCAACTGCCCTCCATTCTGGCATCCCCTTCCAGTCCCTAGCCACCTTTGTCCCCTGCCCCTAGTACCAAGAACCCACCTTCTCCTGCCCTAGTCTAGGATCCTGTTATGTCACCGCATCTCAGCCAGGTGTTAGAAAAGCCAGCTGATCTGATGAAATCACACTGTGTTGTGAATGACTTAGAGCCATTCCTCAATGCACACAGACACAAACACACACACAACCCTGTACCCTTTCCTGGGAATTGCAGGCCACGGGGAAGGAGGCTGCCCTGTTCTGATGACCTGTACTCAGCCACAGGGAGCGAGTCTGAAGCGTGGCACTGAGCCAGGCATTAGCAAACTCATTAACAAGTACATTCTGCTGTCCTCCTAATCTCTGGACTCCTCCTCCTCACCTCAGAGACACACACCCTTGAACATGGGTCCCAATTACTTCCTTTTTAAGCTTTATCTGAGCCCAAAAGTATGTTGCCACACACATAGGCATCTTCATTTATTGTTCCCATTACAGGGCTTTACGAAAATAAGAGGAAACCAATTTTGTCCGGTCCAAGTTTGGAGATTTGTACTAAAGGAATCCTCAAACTCAGTGATGTTGCTGAGCTCCTTCCTTTGGGATTGATTCAGTACAATGTAATTCAAAAACTGAGTGTGTATGGAGGGGTGAGGTCGTCTAAAGTGATTGCTTGAGGGACAACTGTCTTATTTCTTAAAGAATGTAGGTTTTTCCTGTTTGGATTATCCATAAAAGGGAGGGAGGAGAGGGAGGGGTACTGGAAAGATGCTACAGGGAGGGAGAGGGAATGAATGGCTTAACTCCCTGGACAAGAACAGGCTTAAGCAGGAGTTTTAGCTTGGAGATTTGAACAACAAAAATGGAATGGAAGGATTGTTTCCTTGGCCTGTTCCAGAAACTACATTCATATTTAAAGAAGAAGTGTTTGTTCTAGGCAGTAGGCCTAGGCTGTGAGATGACGTTAAGAAAGGAGGAAAGGAAGAGACAAAGGAAAAGAGAAAGGGAGGAAGGAAGACAAAGCACTTCTAAAGCATCCTTCAGACAAGGTGTTCTTCTTTAGACCCAGACAAGGGTGCTGCAGTGAAGAGGTATGGTAACAGCTGAGTCATCCAGGACTAACTCACATCAGAATTTACCTACTTTGGTGGTTGTCTTTTTACTCCATTTAGGGGCTTTTTCTTTTCATTGGGGGTAAAGGTAGAGAGAGGAGAAAGGGTTTTCTTTTGCTTGTTGCCACTGCTGGTTCTATTTTTGCTTTGTGAAAGATAAAATTAAAAAAAAAAAAAGTGATCCCAGGAGATAAATTTCTTAATGGAAAAAGAAAAGGGGGGGGGGGGGAAA